GACCAGCGAATTATATCAACGGTTGGTAAAAGGATATTTGAAAAAATTAGCTGTTGTTTAGATTAACATGTAAAATGACCTAAGGGTATACATATATTTAATAATAATAATAATAATAATAATAATAATAATAATAATAATAATAATAATAATAATAATAATAATAATAATAATAATAATAGTTTTAAAAAAATTAAAGAAAAACTAAAAAAAATTAAGCCAATCATATTAACTACTTCAGGGATTTATTGACAAAAAGAGTATTCAAATCACACAACAAATTGATGTAGGAAACTACCTCGCAATATCATTGTTTGGCAATCAGCAATTAACTTTTCAATATTAGTATATATTTAATAGTTTATGCCCTAATTTTAATTTACTTTCCCTTATGTCCCGTATTTGGTTTCAACCATACCTATACAATTATTTTATTGACAATTATAATCAATCTTGACTATATTATCTTGCATTTGTAAACTTATAATTGCCTATTTAAATACGTAAATTTAACATTCAATTATCTATGCACGAACAATTGCAATATAATCTTGCCTTGATATACTTTAAAGTACTTATTAAAAAAAAGCATTGGACATTATCCTAATCGCGCAATGCGCGTAAAAAACTAGTATATATATATATATATATATATATATATATATATATATATATATATATATATATATATATGAGAGAACCAACCTCTCCATGAGTTCATGATAATCAATCTCATTCATTAAAAAAAATAGATATATGGATGAAATTAAATTAATTGGGAGAATTAAAATGCGTGTGCATATTAGACATTATGATATGTGCATATTAAATATGTATCTGTGTTGCACACAATACATGCTTAATATGCACATATCATAATGCCTAATATGCACACGCATGTTCTTAATCTCTCAATTAATCTCATCCATAGATCTATTTTTTTAGTGGATGAGATTGATTCTCATAGACTCATGGGAAATTTAGTTCTTATAGGAACCATATATATATATATATATATATATATATATATATATATATATATATATATATATATATATATATATATTGGGTGTGTGTGTGAACTATCATTTTTTTTGAATCTTCATCCTAAAAGAATGTGAATGTTATATTATAATTATTTTAAAGGTACATTGTCTGATATTCTCTTTACTTAATTAATAAGGACAAACTTGGAAGTTGGAATACTAAAAGATTATCTTAGAATACCTAAGAGGAGGGGATAATCAGATTACCTTGTAATATATATTACCAACCACCACATCAACTTTGCGGTAGTGTAAGATTATCAAAGTAATATCATAACGACATAACTTGAACCAAATGCTTCCTTAGTGTATTATACCTTGGCTTTGAACTTAATTAAAAATTAAAATATTTGCCTGGACAATTTTCTATTTTGGCTTTGAACTTAAAAATTAAAATATTTGCCTGGACAATGTTTTAAAAGAAAAAAATTATAAATTTGTTTTGAAAATCTTCAAACTTTCTATCCTCAAAATCTATCGTAATTTCCTAAGAACTAAACGATAATTTTTGTGATGAATATCATATATAATTTTTTATCTTCATTAGATATGTATAAAGTAATCAATCCCTGGCCACCATGACTTAACTATATCAAGTCGTCGTTAGAAAATAATTTTAAAAATAGCCAAATCTTATGGAGTTTATGGTTACGTCTATTATTGCAATAATTCGAGCCATCATGTTAGCAATAGGAATATTGTAATACTCCTACCATCCTATGCCACAAATTATGTGTGGAAGCTTTGACACCTAAACGAACTTTAAGCCGATCAATGTATCGAGCACAAGATACTTTCAACAAGCTAAGGAAAAGGAAAAGGGGATTGAAAAGGACTACTAACAAGCATGCAGTCCATTTTTATTTCTCACTGAGAGATATGTGCAATCCCCCCTAATCATAAAGAAAACCCATTAGGCCGCCAATTAGTGCTAGTCTGTGATCCTTCTAAAATGATGCACGAAAACTTTAAACAAAAGACGTTTATATTTAAACATGTTTTTTTAATTTTTTAAATAAAGACTCATAAAAAATATTTTTAAATTGTGAAAAAAGTCAAAAGCTCATTTTTAAAAAGAAAATGTATTTGAGGTCTAACTAAAATATCTTTCAATAAAATTATTTTTAGTACTACATACTCGAGCAAATACCAATTTTGGCCCCACGAGTATTAGCAAAATGACGATTTTGGTTCACATGTTTAATTCTTACCAATTTTCATCCACGACTATTGTTTTAGTACCAATTTTAATCCACAACTATTATTTTAGTACCAAAATTAATCACGTCAGTCACCCAGGCCATCTATTTAATGTTAGATATACAATAGTCTAACTATATGAACCATAGTATACGAGAAACCTAACCTCGTATGATAGCGGAAGCGTAGCCATGTTGATCTCCAGCCATAGTTGATGTTCCTGTTGTGTTGCCTCTTAACGGTAGACCGTCAGCCATGTTTTGCCTCAGACCTGACTCAGAACCCTAGATGGTGTATTGGTATCTACTGAGCGGTCTGAGTACCGTAACTGAATGTGCTATCTAATCCATAAACCTGTATCCCATCAATGCAGGTTTATATTAGGCACAGAGTTTGGTTGACTAACAACTACTAGTTATTAAGTCCAACCAGACCACTTAATAAGCCTAGTCAACTTGCACCACTTAATTAAGGCCCAATATATAATATACAATATATATTATAAGGGAAAATCTTACATTCTCCCACTTGGTGCAAGTACTAGCACAACCTTCATCAAAGAACAAAACACACGAATCATAGTGACATGTCCTCTATTTAATCAGAGTAGTGTTCATTATGGTCACATGCATTTTAATTCTCCAACTTAGGTCCTTAATGAACAAACCCTATGTTTATTCTCGGTACCTTAAGGGATGTTTCTCAAAATACATTATGTGCACAACTGAAGGAGAAAACACATCCAAATTGTACAAAAGAGTACATTGTATCTCTAAAACTTTATAAGCATGCCTTAAGTAGAGATCTCTTAATGTTAGCATAATGCTAACTATATTCCATGACTTCTTTATAAGTTAACTTTAAGTACTATCTCTAACAGCTAAGAGCTTGGAGTTAACACGTCTGTTACTCCCACTCATCAAAAATAGCCAAAAGATAGTCAAGTCACAGAAGCATTCCAATAACTTAGACAATAAACCAAAGGTCTAAGTCCATAAATTTGGAATCTTAAACATACACCATAACTTCCCAAATAACTTCAATGTTCACTTTAAATGAACTGAACATAATGAGTCTTACTTATATGTCTCACAAAATTGCTTTGAGCCTTACAAACCAAAATGGCTCAGGATCAATTTCGAAGAAACTAATTAAAGACTCTATTAAATCACTGAAGAATTTATTAAATTACAGTACACCACAAGTTAAATGCTTTTGTTCTAATAAATTCCATAATATTGTTACAACATTTTCATAAATATGTTGCACAACCAAATGTTCAATAATTTGAACTTATGAATTTATATGAACAAATACAAGATTAATACTTGTGGAATATTATGGACTTATTGTTTAACATACAATCCAATTTGAAATGTATGAAGCCAATAATCCATAAACTTTAGTGGAGTATCTTAATGATCTTTTCTTCTAAATGATCACTCCCACTGATTAAAACATTCTTCAGCGAAATTAATAAAATGAACTTAATAATATACATACTCATAATTGATTTATTGACCAACTAACAAATGAAGACATAATTCCCCACCATTAGTTGGACATACTAAATAATCAATTTTTGGTTCCAATTAAAGTCCAACTAAATAATGAAGATACATCTCCCCACCATAGTTGGACATACTAAATGAAACAAAATACATCTTTCAAAACCAAGTTAGAATTTGGCTCAAAAGATACATTTTATTATTATTGGAATCCAAAAGATGTATGTCAAATCACGTAACTTACTACAGTTAGTCCGAAAAACCGAGCAAGATTCGTGGATTAATTAATAGAAGTGACTAAATTTTGGGAAGTGACTGAAAAACATGTTTTGCCAATGCAAACCATGAAACTTAGAATTAGAGAAAATTACACTTTTGGTCCTGTGACTATTGGGGTCTTGTTAATTTCAGTACTTGACTTTAAAAATTAACACTTTAGTCCCGTAACTATGCAATTTTTAACACATTTGGTCCTCTCGACCAAATCACCGACCAAATATCGCTGGAAAAATATAAACCATTTTTAATTATTTAAAATTGAGGGCAAATTGGTTATTTCAAGTAACTCTCTTCCTCTTCCTTGCACTGTGCACAACTGGCCGATTATTTCTCCGATTAGTAATGATATAATTCTAAAGTAATGAATGATTTCTAGATGTTAACCTGCTGTATAAAATCAATATAGTGAAGAGCCCCATGCTTAAAGTGGGTCCCACCACCAGGGAAGGTAAGGTATTCACCACTAACTTTAACCCAGTTTTGATGTCCCTTAACCTCTTCAAGCTTGCTGTGTTGAACATTGCCGTGCCAAAATTATATAATCGGCCAGAATTATATAGTAACGACGAAGTTGTGCGCAGTGCCAGACCATTGCCGTCGGGAACAAATTTCCGGGGTTCTATAATGAGAAGACAGGGTGCCGTGCCAGAACTATATAAGACGACTTTTCTTAATTTTCCGGCGATTGTTTTCTCGGTGGTTCTGACAACCAGAAAGGTCCGACACCATGGAAAATCTGGCACCGTGAACGGTTCGTCATCGCCGTTTGTTTTCACTATTAGGCCAGCGGAAGTGATGGAGTGGGACACGGCGGTGGAGAAGTAGCTCATACCGAAGTACACGCGCGGAGGCAAAAGGGGATGTTTTCCAGGAATGGCAAGTCGATGAGGGAAATGGCGTCGATGACACCGGAGAGGGAATTGGTGAAGAAGGGGTGGTGAATTGACCATTTTGCCCCACATAATAAACAATTTAAAAATATTTACGTTTTTCCGGCAACATTTGACCGGAAGGACTAAATGTGCTAAAAATTGCATAGTTATGGGACTAAATTGTTAGTTTTTAATGTCGAGTACTGAAATTAATAAGAGCTCAATAGTCATAGGACCAAAAGTGTAATTTTCTCCTTAGAATTATAATTGAACTGAATTTATAATTTCTAAGAAATTGTGATAAAATTATCATCTAATGGGTGGTGGGATTTATTGACATAAAACTTGCATGTGGGCTAAAGTTTTAATTCTATTAAATCCAATTAAGAAACCCTTATGATAATATTTTTCACAATTACTAAATAGCCAGAAGAATCTAGAGACATAAAACTTGCATGTGGGCTAAAGTTTTACTCAATTAGATCCAACTGAAAATATATTTATGATGAAACCATTATCAAATGAGTTGAAGAATCAAATGACATAAAACTTGCCTGTACGCTAAAGTTTTAGTCAATAAGATTCATTGCTATCATTATGATAAAAAAAACTTAAGAGATCATGTTCCTTTTCTTAATCCCTGTGGGCAAATTAAGAAATATGATCTAAAGTTACATCATAAACCTAAATTTCGTGATAGAATTGGAAATTATTTACAAATAACCATAAAGTAAATAAATTGATTTATTTCTATCTTCACTGATAAAACTACTAAACTACATTCCGATACATAATTGCCTGTGGGCTAAATTATGACCGTAGTCCAGTATTTCATCCTGATTAATCATACAAACATAACGAAATTGCCTGTGAGCTAAATTCCATCATATTACATACAATTAATCACAAACGATATGTCCAAAACTTTATGTGATCAAAATAAACCGCTTAATATATAATTTTAACAGATTAAGGATGCTCTGGCTATTCCCAAACCAAATTAAAATTATAAGATCACTAGACAATTATCAAATTCTTGCCTAAACTTTATGTGATTAAAACTTAATAATCTTAGGTAGCTGAATATGCTGTAGCTATTCCTTAATTAACCAAGATTGAAAACTTAAGAGACTTCAGTAAATTAAAGATGCTTTGGCTATTCTTTAATGAACCAATATCAAATCACATTGGCAAGGAATACTTAAAATTTTGACAAACAGATTATACGAGATTGTGATGGGAAAATCTAAATATACTCCAAGGAAAGGCGGTTAGAGACTAAGTCTCACTGAAAACCAATTCCTTAAATAGAGTATCAATTTAAGGAGACTAGTGGCTCAAGATATTCTTAACTCATGGCCATTAAAACTAGTATGTCTCACCGATTCATATATACTTAATGTATAACTGTTTGGGGTATAAACCAGTAAACTGTATGGTATACACCAGAAAACTGTAGGGTTCACCTATGATTAAAGCTTAAATGGTGAACTAAATTAGCGGACTAAACGTGCTTAAATTCAAGCACTATCGCAACTAAAGTTTATGCATAAGTCCAACTTAATAAGGAACTACTATAATTCCATCCCAAAGTATGGATTGCTAAAGGCATAGTAAAATTGCATAATTTAAAACATAATATTATGCTTAGGACGAATATGCATAAAATTAAACATTAAACTCATATATTCCAAATAAATTGCATAACTTAAAGCAATTTACAATATGAGATTTTAAAGTATAAACTTAATATTCAAACACTAATGAGTCCAAACCAAAAGAGACCCAACATTTTGAATAACAATGTACTGAATATATACTTTAAAATTTTTAAACTGTAAGCCCATGGTAAAATGTTTTAATACATAAAGATCAAATTTATGAGAAATAACTGAATTTACAAATTCAAACAATATCAAACCAAAAGGATATGCTAGCATTTGTAAATTAAAATCTCATAAACCCTAATTGCATAATTAAACTTAATATTATGCACTTAATGTGATCGAATGCATAAAACAATCTAAAGTTTATGAACCAACTAAAAAATATGAATTTAAACAAAATATTCATTTATTCATACTTAACCAAACATGGGCAATCAGAACTAAAATCATAATTCAAAGAACTAAATGAATTATGGAATTAATGGCAATAGTCAATTGCCTAGAAAACATGTTTTTCCAAAATTACTAAATTGATTCAAAATCACTCTCCATAACCCAATTGATAATATTATTATTATTAATGGCAAAATTGCAAATAACCAAAATAGCAATAAATAGCCATAATAATATTATCATATTAAGTAGGAGACTAAATATGAAAAAACAATGGTTAAAACCGCTAATACTTATAAATGTTTTCGGATAAAATTTTGAAAACTTAATAAAATTTGAAGTCCGAAAAATATTAATGTCCAAAAAATTATTTTCTGAACTGGAATATTGTCACATAAATTTATTTGAAAACAATTCAAGATACATATCTGAATACCATAACAATATTAATGTTGTCATTAATTAATTATTAATAGTAATAAGTAACATTATAATCACTATTAACATTAGTAATGACAAACTAAAGTATGGTAATGCACTTTTAAAAAGTTTCTATTTTTCTAAAGATAAAATATGTGACTAGTCCAAATTAACGGTTAACTGTAATTGTAGCACTAATTATCAATAACAACCATAAAAGATAATTAATGGCTAACCTTAATGATGCAAACCGCATCTCCCCATTGCGCTAACAACGATGATGATCCACAAGAGAAGAAAAAAACTACAGAATTCTCCCATCTTCACTGTCGGTGTCAGTAATCTCGATGCAGCGTCCAATGGTACATTTTAAAATTTATTGGTAGGACTTAATTACCAACAATAATAGTCATGTAAAATGAAGTGGTAATCATGCCAATGCACCAAATGTAGCAGATTACCATGAAATAATTATTATGGAGGGTAATAAATGAGATTAGCCCTAAACTTAATAACAGTAATTAATAATGCCGAATTGAACTTAATAAATGGCAAAACTGTAAGTAAGGGATGCCAAATACTAATCTCCAATTTTACCACATAATAATTAATCATGACTATTATGATACTTAGGGAGACTGAAGTTAAGGTAATAACCAAATTACCATTATACAGACAATATACCAACTATATTGCTTTTGCCATGAAATTAAAGACTTAATATTATTATTAAGGCCCTGAAAAACTATTGATAGATTAAAAAATTTAATCAACTTAAACAATAGTTATAGTTCTTAATGGTCAAAATAACAATTAAATCCTTAAAGTCTCTAAACAGGCCAAAACAATAATTATAGCACTAATCACTCAAATTAGGCACATAAACCTCAATGACCCAAGTGAATTATAACATGAATAAAAACTGGTCTAAGTACTGAAATAGACCCAAAACTTAATATTATTACCAACGATGAATACCAAAATATGGTAGTTAGTAATAATTAAAACTTAATAAACATGTTATAAGGAGCTATAATTATTATTAAAATATCAATCAAAATGGTGGGATCCATACTTTAATGATCCAAGATCGGTCCCAAATAGCTTGTTCAAAATAGGTCCTAAAGTCCCAGAAACACATAAAACTAAAATGTGCTCAAAATTAACAGGAAACCAAAACAAGCTACCTTAATAGGTCATATAATACCTAAAATTGACCTTAATGATCCAAAATTGAATGATATTCTAATAATGAATTTATGAGTTAATAATATGCTATATCCAACCTTAACGCATGCTTTTATAAATGTATAATTATAATAATAAAATAATTATTTAATAAATATACGTAGCATGTTGGGATTTGCATATTAATGTATTATTAACCCATATATCCTAAGTAAATTGCAATACTGGAGGCAATTTAATATAAACCTCATATTAAATTAAAATTCAAACAGCAAATTTAAAACTTAATATTTGCCCAAAATTGAATGATAATTTAATAATAACTGAAAGAGGAATTAATTTGGTCAATTAACTAGAAGAAGTCCAAATATGATGATGGAGAACTAAAGCAAACCCATAACTTAAGTAGGCCACAAGTTTTATTTTTTTTAAGTATTGGACCAGGTCTGGCCCGAATGGGCCTGACCCGGCCCAAATGTATAACCCATATTCCTCATCATCTTCTTCCTTAATCAGCTGAACCCTAGCTGCCTGCTTGAAAACGAATTAAACCGGTAATGGAGATGGAACCGTGACAGCTGGAGCCTGCAACGCCTGAATGTGGGAGCAACGATGGCCGAAGGTAGCATCGCCTGAAGGGAGGGGGACAGTAGCGGCGAGCTGGTAACCCAGCTAACCTCCACCGTCTCTCCTTGTCAGGACACCAACGCCGGCGATCGCTGTCATCCATCACGGCAGTGCCACGGATCCTTTTCATCGTCGACTGGGGCATGAGGAGCAGCGACAACCCAACTTCGCCGGCGTCGCCTGAAGAAGAAGAGGAACCAGCGACAACCGGAAACCCAGCCTCGCCTCGCCATCTCTCCTGGTGCAACGCCAGCTCCGTTGCCATGTCCAGCGTCCAACGACACCACCCACCTCCGCCATCTCTAGCTTTGCCACCGAACAGAGACCGTAACCGGCGAACAAATCCGGCGATTTTTCGGCGAACAAGTAGCAAGGCAGTAGGTCTATTGTTTTAATTTCAAAAATTATTTTCCTTATATTTCGAAAAAAAACAAAAATTCCAAAATTTTCTGGAAAAACTGACATGTATATATATGCATATATGAAATCCGAATATATATGTACATACATGATACATACTGTAAAAGCAAAGCACAAATAATGGTTGCATACATATACAGATTATCCAAAATTATTAATAATTTCGGCATAATCAGTAATTAATTCACTCCAAAACATACACGATAAATTACATAATTATATCTGAACTGAATAGATATATTTTTAAGTGTATAGTTTAAAGAATTAAAACATATACGAAAGCTCAATGTATATGAAAAACCTAATGTTGATTCTAGGCAATACAATCAACCAGGCAGAGATTATAAAGGTTCTGATACCAAATGTTAGATATACAATAGTCTAACTATATGAACCATAGTATACGAGAAACCTAACCTCGTATGATAGCGGAAGCGTAGCCATGTTGATCTCCAGCCATAGTTGATGTTCCTGTTGTGTTGCCTCTTAACGGTAGACCATCAGCCATGTTTTGCCTCAGACCTGACTCAGAACCCTAG